AAGTCTTATAGTTTTCGAGATTTTCAGCATTCATTTTTTTTTGAAAGTTGGATCATATTCAGTTAATCCCGTGCCGTACAAATATCAACTTTTTTGAACCAGGTTTAGATAACACTCGTAATTAAGCATTGCATCGTCCAATATTATTCTTCCTTGAATGGCAAAAAGTCACATAATATTAATGTCAAAGTATAAAATAATACTGGACGAGATAAAATGCTTAATTCTGAGTGTTTTAAAGCAAACCTGGTTCAAAAAAGTTGATATTTGTAGAAACGGCAGGGGATTAACTGAATATAAGCCAGTTTTTCGAAAAAAACTCTAAGACTTTTAATAAAAGAAAATTTCACTATCTAGTAGGCCATAATGCGACCAATCTACAATTGTAGGACTATCCTTTAATATCGGGATACCCTGAACTTACAAATACAAAGTGTAAACGTTATGGTAGTCATTATTGAAATGGGTAATAGGGGGTCAAAGCAAGTTAAAAAGTTCATATGACCCATGGTCCAAAAGTCAATAGATTTTTGTCTAAATGGCTTTATAGTTTAGAGCTTTAAGTGCTTTATATCTACCACAGTCACCACAATCTTACTAATGTTTATAATCTAATCTAAAACGTTTTTAAATTGGGTAATTAACAAATAAATGGCGTTAAGTTTTTCTAAGTTAAACCAAAATTTGTAGTCAGTAACTAAGTAAGTTTCATTAAATTGAATACTTTAAACACACATGACAACAGAGCGTCGGTCATCATCACTCTTATCGTACCAGCAATCGATCGCAAACGGTAACAGTGGTTAGTATGTTGTTTTGTTTTTGTTCGCGGACGTCGTCGTCTTGATTTATAGAATTCAAATCTTGCAGCTCAAATTTATCGCGACAGATTTCGCCAACGGGTACACCCAGACAGAAGGGCATTTGTGCAAGTGTACCAAAGACTTCAAGATACAGGAAGTGTTCAGCCCACTAATATTCGCACTCGTTTTCACGACAGGTTACTGTAGAGTAGGAGGAACAAATTTTAAATATCGTGAGAATCGATGCAGATATAAGCACTCGGGAATTAGGCCGCCGCGTAGGACTATCGCATATCATAGTCCATAGAATCCTACGGGAAAATTTGCTTTATCCCTACCATGTACAATGAGTGCAGGCCTTGTTACCAGAAGACTATCCTCACAGACTAACATTCTGTCAGTGGTTTTTGCACAAAAACATTGAAAATTCGGATTTTTTTAAAAACATTCTAGCGACAGACGAATGTACTTTACTTACACGCAATACGGGATATTAAATTTCCATAATACACGTGGGCCCAAGAAAATTCTCATACCATTCGTGAAGGCCGTAATGAAGCATGTGTGGAAAGTGGAGGACGACATTTTGAACACCTTCTTTAAGTACAAAAAAAATGCAGTGTGGGATTTAAAAAGTGTTTTTCTTGTATGTATCAAAATTGTGTTCCCTATTTATAAGTGGATTTTTTAATAGCTTCAATAAACTTTCACACACCAGGTAAAGCGCTTAGACAGTTACTGGTAAGTTCGTTTATTTAATTGTTTGTATTTTACGAGTACATTATCAAATAATTAAATAAGACCTAAGAGCCAAAAATAACAAACTCAATCTTTATTTACACACACATTGCGGCGTTGTCAGATTTTATTTTACTTTAAAGTCGCTTTTCTCTAAAAAAAATGCCGTTTGACCCCCATGTTATATGAAACTTTTTGCTTCTTTTAACTCCCTCTCTCAACCATTTAAATAATGACTATCATAACGATTACACCCTGTATATGGACCTAGAACGTTCTCTTTGGGTCGTCCAGCATTTATAACCAGAAGATCAGAATGATAATCGTCTTGATTGATGTACTTTCTTAGAAGTAAAACGCTTACTTTATTAATAAAAATAATCCATGCCAAGCTATGCCGAGTAAAAATATCATGAAAGAAAGTTAGAAGTCGTGTTTGTCATGTGTCTTCATGAAAGCAGTACCTATGGTGATGTTGGTTGCATATCGTGAGCCATCATTCTAAGAAATCAAGTAGAAACATAGTAGAATTTATAGTATAAGAGAATTACCGTGGAAAATTCTTAAATCGTTTAATTCCTTGCCTTTTTTCAGAAACGAGGATGTGCAAATTCTTCAAAGTCAATTAACATCTCGAAATATAGAAGGTATCTAAGATTTATCCAAGGAACCTGGAGAGGAACTGTGCATGTAGATCACGATACTGGGACCAGTTGCTTCCAGTTTAGTATCACCATCAGCAGAAGATAATAAAATTATTGATGTAATTTGACTCTTTCAATCGAATATAAAAAATAAATCTTACATAATAATTAAGCGGTTGTTGCTTCTAGAACCTAACTTCTGTGTGAGTTATTCTTTCTTTTTTACGTATAGAGATATGCCGGATTTTCTTCTTCTAAGATCTCCTACATATACGAGCCCCTTCCCACTTCAGTTGGCCCAACTATTGAAATCTTAGTTTTTTCTTATCAAACACAATTAATAAAAATGTAGCAGGGTGTAGGTTTAAAATATTAACAATGAATATTTTGATAATATATAGTAGATAACACCAACTGTATCACTCCCTAATTAAATTTGCAGCATAAAAATAACACATGTTGCAATTACAGCATATCAACCTATTTTCATTTCAATGCAAAATAAGTCTATAACGCATAGGTGGCTGTGAAAAATAAAAGCCATGACAATTGTTTTTATTAATCACAGCTGTCAGAATACGTTTAAAATAGTTTTGGGTAGTTAAGGTTTTCAAAATGGGTAGAGGAAATGTTATTAGTAAGAAAATTCGGTTACTGATAATTAAATTTTTTAATTCTGGGAAATCAAACTCAGAAATTGCAACTTTGTTAGACTTATCGCGGTACAGTGTGAGAAATATTGTTAGAAGATGTATCGTAACTGGTTCAGTTAATATTAAGCCACGATATGTGAAAAAAAGTAATATCACAAATGCCGACCGAAGAGCATTAAGAAGAATAATCGTGAAAAACAGACGTGCCAATTATTTACAATTAAGTGCTCTGTGGAGTGACGCTGTTGGAAGGTGAATTTCGAGGTCCACAACTCAGAGAGGCCCACAAACTGGGATTTAGCACTTGCAAGGTAAGTTTTCTTATAAAAAAACTGAAGTAAAAACCCTAAAGTTGCACAACTTGTTTATAGAGCAAAGAAAAGCCACTATTAACTCCACTGCAAAAGAAAAATCGGCTTAGATGGGCTAAAGACATAGACAATGGACACCTCAACAATGGTGTGCAATACAATGGAGTGATGAGGCCCGATTCAAAGTTTGTGTTGGTGACAGTCGCAGTAGAGTTATTCGCAAAAAAAATGAAGCATTCCATGTTGACTGTCTGAAGAGAAAAGTGAAATTTCCAGCATCCATTATGATCTGGGGCAGTATGTCATCAAAAGGAGTAGGAAAACATCATTTTATTGATGGAAATGTGGATACAAACAAATATTTGGCAATTTTAGAAGAATCGCTTTTACCAGTGATGGAAGAATGTTTGACATCCGGCCAAGATTTTGTGTTTCAGCAAGATGGTGCAGCGTGCCATACCTCAAAAAAGGCTATAAAATGGATGGAAGAAAATAATGAACCACTTTTGAAATGGGTTTCTAGCAGTCCAGATCTGTCACATATTGAAACTTTGTGGCATGAAATGAAAAAGTTTCTACGACATGCTGCTCGTACAATCACCGAACTGAGACAAAAGCTTCAAGTAATATGGGATTGTTTTACACCAAATTTTTGCCAAAACTTGGTTAACAGTATGCCCCAAAGAATTTCAGCCGTAATACAAAATAAAGGTGATGTTACCCAATGGTAATCTTTCAATTGTTGCTTTGTTAACTTCGCGCATTTATTCGCACATTGTTTATTTGTTCGGATGTTATATTAGTTATAGGTCTAAATGGTTTCAAATATGTATTTTTTATGACTAGAGTGTATCTAAAATGTTTTTGAGAAAATAAATAGTTTTAGAAGTAAATAGTTTCGTCATGTTTAGTTTATAAAGGCATATTTTGGTACAAATCTTGAAGTGGGCCAACGGAATTGGGAAGGGGCTCGTATTGCCATAATTCAAACTGGACAACATACCAAAAGAGGTTTTCTCCAGTTCTCGTAGTCCTAGAAGCAGCTCAATAATCAGATCAACAAGATATCTAAGGCACAGTTCTCACGAAAAACCACAGCGAATCTCGACTTTAACCTGATTTTGGCTTCAGTTACGTTGCTTTTGCGTTCTCACCGGAAGCAACTGCTAAGCAACTGGCAGCCTGCTTTGTGGTTGTGAAAAAAGTCATTATTATGTACTTACTAATAGGAATGGGGAACATAAATGTAGATTATTTTTATTCTCACAAACCTTGACTGAAGAAGGATATAAGCAAGGCATTTCACAAATAAAATCCAGCCAATCATGGATCATTCATATTTACGAAAAACTCTCAATTTATAAAAAATATAAAATGCAAAGTAAGAATTCTCGGGGAAGCAGCCAAACGCAAAATGAAATCCCGCTTGAAAGAACGTGATTCTTGATTTGAGTTAAGTTTTGAAAATGTTTATTTTCATCAGGATTTACTGCAAAAGATACTGTCAGATGAAGCATTACAATATCAATAGCCAACAGCCAACATAAAGCAGTTCAGCGGTGCTTTTATGCTAAATAACAGGAGCTGTGGAATAGCTTTGACAGTTTACAACATTGATCGCAGTGCCCAGTGAGAACTGCTGTCATAGTGATAAAGTAGCTCCACGTCAACTACTATTCAAACTTTAAGGGCAAATGTACAAGGAAATCTATGATGTGTGAAATATGCGTAATAGGTACGTGTAATTACAAACACTGGAAGCGTATAAATATACTAACATTAAAATTGAGATATACTCTCCCCACATCTCTACAACTCCCAACCCACATTTTTTACACATGAAATTTTCTCAAAAATGATCTAATTCCCCTGAAACGTCAAAAAACGATGTTGGAGCTATTTTTACTTCGTTTTAGACCTTTTCTTTTTCTCTGCCACAACTGAACCTATTTCCAAAGACTACAAAGCTCTTGTGCCCTTGATATAGTAGTAACATTGTGTGAAAATTTCACCGAAATCCGAGCGTTACTTCTCAAGTTATAGCGGACAGACCGACAGATTAACCGACGGAAATGAGTGACATGGTTTTTTGTGTTTCATATAACATGCAAAAAACATGATACTATATATCATTTTCGAAAATTTTGGCGATTACAATACTTCTATGTCAGCAGGCGTGGGGAGTAAAACAAAGTCCATCTGCACAGGAACAATTGAGCTTCCTATAGTTTTAAAATTTTATTTAACAAAACGAGTTATTCCTACTATCATTAAATAGATCACATATAAACTACACTAAAATTTCACAATATAACAAAATATGTACAAACACTGGGTAAGAAGAATCAAGGTACGACTATTGTCCCTTTGGTAAGTAGAATGCTTCAAGTGGTACGTGGGAGAGCAACGAGTTAGCTATGCTCATAAATAGAACGGCTAGCTTCTTCCTCAGCTGAGGTAACATAACTTTGAAGACTTCCATGCCGTTTTCTCGAAGGAAGAGGTTGATTGCTTGAGCTGCAAGGGAGAAGGTATACACGTTATTTATTAACAAATTAAAAATAGCCCGTCCTTGTACACTTGGATAATTTTGGTCGCTGAATACGAATATGTCAAAAACATAAAGGGTCGTAAGATCGAATATGCTGTGGAAAGACTGGAGTCTTAGTTTGGGGAGCACCAACCAAGAGAATACGAAACTAAGTATTCGAAATGCGTGATTATATACAAATGTTTAAGAACATTGTATCCTCAGCATGGAAAATATCATCTCATTGTTTGAATAAAGAACTCCTAATATACTAGTTTAGTTTTGAATTCTCCTGGTTGGTGCTCGCCACCTTTAGTGCAAAAAATAACCCAGAAAACGTATCTCCATCAAGATTACAGATATGCAAAGGATTTTGAAACTGTTCTCATATGACACAATATACGACTTTCTTCTTTCAAAGCATATACAATATAAACAACACGTATACAATGATTTACACAAAGTATAGAATAACAAAAGTGAGGTTAGGCTTACGAGAAAAAATCGATACGTTAGTGAAGGCACGGGTATTATATAAAAAACCTTTAAAAGGTAAAAAAAACTATGAGATGTCATTTTGCAGACTAGGTAGTTTTTAGGGCGGTCATTCCACGTTTGCTCACTAGGATCGTTGTGAACGCCCATCTATGGAGGAATGACCCAACTCAACTGGTTGCATATATTTTGTGAAGCCGAGTGGTCTATAGTTTTTATCTCTGAGAAGAAAGTTTTGTTGAATAGCAAGATCGCATCTGGATGATTATGTGTATTGGTCTGCATCTATATAAAATCAGTGATATTTGCTGTGTGAGAAAATCATTACTGAATATGCTGCTAATGAAGTATATCTATTAGCTATGCCCGACGGGTTATTTATATGTTGTCCTTTCTGAAGGCAAGTTATGTTCAAAGTTAGAAATTACGAAAAACTTTGAGGGAAATTACGAGAAATCGCCTGCGTTGTGTGTAATTACTGCTAGCATATATATATGACTTGTAATTCGACAGTGTACAGTGAATATAATTATTTCGTATCTCTCTCATTTGTTAAATTCATCAAATTTGTATATGTAACTTCCAGCATGGTTAGGATAAAGTGGATGCGCAACTAATTTCTAGCTTTGAATCTCAAGTAAAAGTGTATTAGAAACAAGAATCTAATGAAATTATCAACAACACATACAACTTACAGCTTAGACCTTCAGTAATGCCATCTCTGAAGCAGATTTTATATAACATCAGAGCCAAACATTGATAACTGAAGCCTGTTGCTCCGTTTAGAAACACGTACAACTACAAAACGAGTTCACAACGTGTCTATCATCAGCTAATGCTAAGTTAACATCTTATAGAAAAACCTACATAATCTCAAAAAAAAATCGACATAATGTCACTTTTCAAGATACGTAATACCCGTGCATGGTTCATTTTGATCAAAGATGGAAGAAGATATTCCGTCGAGTGCTGTATCTGTGAAAACAAATCTGATTTAGCATCTTGTCGCTTCAAATCGCACAGGTGAGTTAACTTTTGCATATGCGTCTACAGGCATCTTACCAATTTCTACTTGCCTAATAAAAGAAATTTCAAATCAGAAAGTACAGTAGGAAGGGGTAGTAAATACATGTTTATTCTTCTTACGGATGACAGATAACAACCTCGCCAATCTAATTGTTGACGATGCTGATGACGCCGAATGAATTTACTCAAATGGGTGGATTTTGTTTCCAGTATGTTTTAGTTTATTTTCGAAATGCTTCTAATTCAATTAAAACTAAATAATATATATAATATTTATATATATATATATATATATATATATATATATAAATAAATCGTTATTTACAAGCCAACCAAACATTTATGTAATTTAAGGTGCTGATTATCGATCTGATGATCATTAAGTATTGTGGGCTAAAAACTAAAGGCGTTTGTGTCTGTCCTCGAATTCTTGACCTTTTTAAAATACAGTTATAATCCTCCTTCTATTCGAGAAACAAGGTAAGAAGGGAGAAAGAGAGAAAGGACGGAGACCAAAGAAGGGGGAGTGCGTCCATTCAAGGGGTGCATTGGCATTGCTGACTAGTACTCAGGAATTTCAATTTGATCCTAAAATTAATTTAGAAATTGGTTGATGTAGAAAACTTGTAATTTGTTTAGACCTAAGGCGTCATGATTTAATTTTGTGTGAGCCGTGGTCTTGTGTGCTTGTGAAATTACTCGAATATGTAATCTACTGACTCACGCAACAAACGGTTGCTATGTAATTCCGCTTGACTATAGCTGTGCTTGTTGTTCGATATAGTCCCTTAGGTAAGGGATGTCCAGTTAAATAAGGGTCTCATTGGAAACAGCATGAGGCATTAGTGATTATGCGAAAGTTCTGTTCTGCAAAACCTGCAGACTACGCAAATGCGTTTTGGCGAGGAGCCGCACACGCGAAAGTGACTGTAGTAATAAACCTTTACTCATTCTTCTACTTTTTTTACACAATATACTTACTTAAAATAGCGTTATTCTTGTACACGTTCTTGACTAGCAATCGAATATTCCTCACGACTAGATCGACATGTAGAGCATCCACATGGAGGTATTTCAGACTTTCTTTCTCTTTGATGCTTGTCCTTCCTCTAACTGTGGCCTCCACACCCTCTGTAATGATAAATATACACTGAGAACAAAATTTGTCTGAAAGCTTGAGTTCAATATGTACAGAAAAGAAGTGTGTATAGACACATTATGTTACAAAGAGCCGCCTGGATAGTAAGACTCCTCACCGCGTTAACTAGCAACACTGCTGCGTTTCCAATATGTTACACCAGTTCCTTAAAATAAGATGCATATTGAATATACGTACTTATAAATACAAATAATGGTTTTATTTTGAGCATACATATTTTTGAATTGTGAATGAGTGGGTACATCCAAAAAGTATTAGCTTGTCTTCTCATAATAGAGGAAACGGTGTGATTAGAATTATGTGCACAAAACATAATAAGTGAAAATTAAATACTTTTGTTACATTTAACCAATTCAGCTGATCAAAATACAAGCTAATGTGATACTCGTACTTTCGTAGGTAAAAAGTCAATCTAAAACAGGAATTCTGTGTTTTTTGCAAACGTTTCACGGATATAGAATGTAAAAATAGATGATATACTAAGTCGCAGTAAGTAATTTTTGATATTGTCATAGTTTTACATAGATTTTTTATAGTATTAAGATCAAGTGTTTGACGTAGGACAACAAAGCATCTTTTAGTAATGTTATTCACGTAAGGTATGAACCTATAGTCCTCGTCAAAAAATACCTTTAATTTTTTTTTTTTGCTGATTCCTCAATTTAAATAACACTGCCGTTTGGTCGTAAGATGAAGTGAGGTTTAATATGACTTCCAAGACCTTTAGGAGACAAAATTAATACTTTGGATTTACATGAATTTAACTGAAGGTTATGTTCGGCAACATAAGTTTCAGTAGATTCTGACATCTGAACGTCACCGTAGGCCGCATCACCAATCAAGATCGTAATACTGCTACATGTCGTTACGAGAGGTCACAAATAGCCGTCACCTTCGGTTACTAGAGCATACAGCAGAAGCATACAGTTATACATCGCCCTGTATAGGGCACTGATAGCAGCTGTCCCGTGATTTCGATCCGGAAAGTTTTTTAGACGAAAAGCGAGATAACCGAGGTATTTACTATGGAAACTGACCCAGGGGGGTCAGGAAATGGCGCTTCCACCATGGCAATGGAGATGGAGTCGAAGGAGCAGACCATAGAGGAGTTGAGAGCCGAATTGGAGATGGTTCGACAGGAGCTGTCAAAAAAGGACGATGATAAGAAGACCAATGAAAGATTGATGATGATCATCGAAGCCCAGCAGCGGACAATTACCGACCTAACAGTTAAATTAGACCTCCTACTGAAAACCCAGGTACCTTCCCATCTAAATATTCTTCCCAAACACTTCCCAAAAATCCCAGTAAAGACAAATCTGTCAATCTTAAGAGACCGTTAAATAATTCAAGCGATCTTTCCACAGACGACGATACACTCCCTGATGGTTTTACCAAGGTTAAGCCCCGTAAAACGCGACGAAACAAGACCGACATGACAGGCTTTCCTCCTCTCCCTCCACCAAAATCGCAGTCTGAAACGTCTCATTCAACTGCAAGCGACTCGAATAAACAGCCTGTGCCTAATCTATCGGTTACTTCCACGCCTTCGACATCTCTGGTACCAGAAGACACGACTGCACAGCTCCCATGCAAGGTACGTGTTACCCCCATCGTTCTTCGCGATGCTTCGAGATGGCGAGGCGTAAATCACAAGTTTATTTCTTTGAGCATCAAATTCGAACGCGCGGTTGCCGTCGATGCAGGAATCAGGATAATTTCCAAGTCCGAGGATGATTACCGCAGGATTATTCGTCTCTTCAGGGAGGAAGAGGTGCCCCATCACACTTTCCCTCTTCCCTCCGAGAGGAACATTCATGCTGTAATCAGAGGAGTACATGCGACACTTTCGGAAATTGAGATCAACGAAGAGTTGCAACAGAGGGGATATTCCCCCTTGCACATAATTCGCCTGAAACGCGGTGGCGGCGTGCCCATGCCTTTGGTGGTAGTCATACTGCCCAAGATAGAAAAATCTCAGCAGCTGTTCAACGAACACGAGCTGCTAGGTTTGGCTATCCGAGTCGAAGTTCAAAAGAACTCAAGACTCATCGGGCAGTGTCACCGCTGCCAAAAATATGGGCATGCGCAATCTTACTGCACTGCACCACCTAAATGTCTAAAATGTGCTTCTGACCACATGACCCACTTATGCCCTCAAACAGAACAAGAGAAACGAAAGTGCGCGACCTGTGGAGGGGGGCATCCAGCGAATAGCCGAACTTGCAGATTTGCCCCTAAAAAGCAACACAGGCTCTGCAGGCGATCTTTCCTGCAAATGGCTAGGTACAATCGTCGACAGCCTGCATTTATCAAAATTCTTTTTTGGAATTGTTTGGGTCTAAGGGACATTCCCAAAAGACGGGAATTTCATCAAGCTCTTGTGGACGAAAGTATAGATGTGGCCTTGCTGCAGGAAACATTACTTAATCCGGGAGATCGTCTAGCTTTCCCGAATTACGATGTTATCCGGGCTGATAGATTGACTGAACGGGGTGGCGGCTTGGCAGTGCTAGTGAAACGCGGTATTGACTACCACAGAAGCACAGACGCTGAGATGTAGAGCATCGAAGCGGCTTCCATGGTGGTCAATATGACGGGAGGTGTGCCGTTAAAAATCACATCGGTGTATGTCAGGTGTGGTAACAGGCTGCAAGAGGCGGATCTGGAAGTCCTTTTAGACTACTCGGGTCCACTTATTGTGGCAGGGGACTTCAACTGCAAACATCGAGCATGGCATTCCAGGTTGAATTCCACCAGTGGGATCCGACTGTACAACCATGTGATACGAAATGGCTACCTCATACATAGTACTGAGGAGCCGACGCACCACCCATTTAATCACCTTCAGGCACCTGATGTTCTTGATTTGGCATTATCCAAAAACTGTAGCTACAGTATCACTTCTCGAATCATGTATGACACCTCAAGCGATCATCTTCCCGTCGTTTTGGAAGTGGCTAATGAGCAGATCTTGGGGGATGAAATCCCTCCAAGGAAACGCATTGATTGGGAGCTATACAAGTCGCTCCTCAAAGAGTTCCCCAATATACCGATCATAGATTATGAGAACGGTACAGATGCGGCTCAAGCAGAGTGGACAAGTTTTGTTCAGCAAACTCTGCAGCGTGCAGCTGTACTTCCCGTGCAGCGACACGGCAGACCTTTTCTGCCAGCAGACATTCGTCAGAAAATTTCTGATAAAAGAGCTGCAATTAAGCAAGCGAAAAGGTCTTGTCATCCTGATGACATTTGCAGAGCGACGAATCTTGTTCATGAAGTAAGAAATGCTCTTCATGAATTCCGCAATGAACAATGGAACGACTTTCTGGCGGGGATGCTTGACTCAAGCATTCCTCTCTGGAAGGTGGCGAAGTCGCCCAAAAACGGAAAGCGTGAACAAATCCCACACATTCACGGTCCTGGAGGCATTGTCTTCAGGACAGATGAGAAGGTTGAGGTTTTCGCCGATGCCATGGAAAGACAGTTCTCTCCCAACTATGATCTTGATAATGACCTCGACGAGGAGCAACACATCGTAAGATCTGTCAGGAGATATTTTAGGGCCAACGGCGTCAGTGACAGTCGCGCATTCGTTGGTGATTTTTCTTCATCAGAAGATTCTTCTTCAGAAGCTTCTTCAATCGAAGATTTGCTTAGCACATCAGCGGTATCTCCTGAGATCCCGCATTGCACACCAGCAGAGATTCAAGGTCATATTAAAGACCTTAAAGTGCGTAAAGCACCTGGGGAGGATCAAATCACTAATAAGGCGCTGAAGCTGCTTTCGCGGAAGTCCTTAACTTATCTCGTGGCAATAGTCAATGCCATGCTAAGGATCCAGTACTTCCCATCCGCGTGGAAGACCGCTGAAGTTATAATGATTCCAAAGAAGGTGGGTTCGATATTTCCCCAGGATTATCGTCCCATTAGCCTGCTGTCAGCTGCGTCTAAGCTCGCTGAAAAGGTGATTCTACGTCACCTTGAGAATTTCTCGTCAGATCACCATGTGATTCCTGACGTGCAATTCGGTTTTCGGTCTGAACATAGTACGGAGCTACAGGCGGTTAGGCTGGTGGAACGTGTAACCAGAGGATTCACCCTTAACGAAAGTACTGGCATCTTGCTTTTGGATGTCTCAAAAGCATTTGACAAGGTGTGGCACGCGGGCCTCTTGTATAAACTCATCCAAAAGGGCTTCCCTTTTTGGCTTCTAAAACTACTGAAATCCTTCCTTGAAGGTAGGAAATTTCGGATCACAATTGACAACGTCCTGTCGACAACACGGCTGATTACAGTCGGCGTCCCTAAGGGTTCGGTCCTTGGACCTATCCTTTACTCACTGTACATCCATGACGTCCCTAGTCCCAGCAACTGTGAAGTCTATCTCTATGCTGACGTTACTGCATTGGTGGCTCAGTCGTGGTCTGGTGACCTAGTCCATGACAGGCTGCAAAGTGCGGTGGAAGAAGTATTAGATTGGGCGGATCGGTGGCTAATTAAAATAAACCATTCGAAAACGCAGGCAATCTACTGTACAAAAAGACGTCGCGGCGTTCCGTCTGAAGTTTCAATGAATGGACTTCGTATACCATGGGAATCCTCCGCTAAGTATCTCGGTGTCATTCTGGACCAAGGGATGACTTGGCGGAACCATATGGAAGCGGTAAAAACTAAATTCCAAATTACGTTTCGGCAGCTTTACCCATTATTATGTAAACGGTCAAAATTAAGTTTGATTAACAAGATTCGACTCTATAAGGTGGTCATAAGACCAGCAATGACTTACGCATGTGCGGCTTGGTGTTTTATTGCTAAAACACACATGCGAAGTCTGCAGGTTCTGCAAAGCAGGACGTTGCGCACTATTGCTGATGCCCCATGGTATGTCTCTAACGAAACTCTACATAGAGGCCTCGATGTCCCTTACCTAAAGGACTACATTAAGCAACAGGCGCAGCGGCGCTATCGCCTATCGGAATCGCACAGCAACCCTCTGTTGCGTGAGTCAGTGGACTACACAGTCGAGCAAGTTCGCAAGCACAAAAGGCCGCGGCTCGCACTGAAATCAAAATTAACTCGTGAACTTAGAACAACCAAAATTGGAGCATTTTTACACAATCTTTAGAAAAAATCAAATATTTTTAGACCATATCAAAATCTGTGAAGTGATTTTAACAATGCCTAAACGCTGCCTATCCTAAAAGAGTATCTTCTTCCCCTTTGCTCTCGTTCTTCCTTCTCTCCTTTCCTTCCCCTTTTTTCCTTAAAATTGTCTGGTTTCTGGGTTACCAGACCTGACAGACTTACAAACTGTCACTGTGACTCAAGAGCTAAGGTCCCACGGACCGCTCTGACAACCAACGATGACTTGACTTGAGCATACAGTTATGAAAATCCCTTTTTAGCTGGTTACAGGGTAAAAGTTGATTAGGGTATTTTCTGGAATTTTTATTTTTAGGAAATATCAATAAATAATTTTCGGGGCAAAAAATTGTTGTCTTTCCACTTTTTTCAATTAACAAGAGGTGGCATAACTTGCCTTGCACCAAAGCTGTGACGTAATAAGTTCGAGCATACCACTCTGTCCTTGAAAAAACATAATTTTGATTTTCTGACGATGGCAAGGACTTAATTGAAATCTTGTCCAACATACGAGTGAAAAAACGAGGAATAACTGCAACATTTTTAAAAAAGGGGTTGTGAACAATCTGTTTCAGTTATTGAAAGTGGAATTTTTAGTAAAGGATACTCCATTTTAAAATTGAGAAAACTATATAGAACAGAATCTGTGCCTTTGCGTTGGTTCAGCAAGCAAAATTATGTGAGAGCAATAAATAATAATAGACCATTTGTGTTAATTAATAATTATTGTACGCCAAGTTATTAATTTGAAGCAAAATACCTATATTTTAGAGACGTTTGAAACACTGCGATGAATAGCAAATACTATAAGTGAATCCATCAAGTAAGCGTGTCAAGGAACTTGAAACGCACATGCACAATCATGAAAATCGGATTTTATGTAATAACGTGTGTGGAAATATGCGTTCGCATTGCTCGTACTCGAATTATATGTGAGGTGGATGCCTTTACGGTATTTTGCCTAGGTACATAATAAATATAAATGAAATATGAAATGGCGAAAGAATACTTTGGAACGTTTGTAATTGAATTTTCCTTTATAAATAAAGAATACGTAATCCTCAGAATGAGGTATCTAGGTGTTGGTCAATTATCTGCTCAAACTTCAAGTAGCGATAAATAACCTACAAGTTCTTATAAATATATACCCAAAAATGTTTCATTACCTACTAAAATTGATGTAAAATGTAATCAAGAGGGCTCAGGTTTGCCCGGCTGCTAGAGGCAAACATTTGTTTATCTATTAGACATAATTTCTAAGTTTCAATAAAAGATTCAGACGAAAAAGATGGACGTATTTTATTCCATTTCACAAATATTCAAGATACAAACCAGTCAGTTACATAGCGACCGCCTTGTATATGTATGTTTCAGCAAAGTCTATTATCTACAAAAATGCCAAGGTATTTTATAAGTTGCTTCTGTGAAAGTGTTACTGTTTGATTTTCAGTTTTGTAGATGGTTAGAGATTGACAGTTAGGCAATTTAGTGTTGTGTGTTATAAAAGGCATGTAATATGTTTTGTCATAGTTGATGGTCAATAAATGTTCATTAAGCCAGTAAATTATAAGTGTGAAATCGTTTACAGCGATTATTTTTAAGTCTATCCAATTTTCGGCTTCATATATTATACTTACGTCATCAGCAAAAGCTAAAATGGTACCTATGGTGTGTAAATTAAACAAATCATTTAGATATATGTTGAATAGGAGTGATGAGAGAATTGTCTCTTGACGAACACCGTAAGTCACTATACTTTCTTGACTATGTATATATCACCTACTTTGGCCCATTGTTTTCTATTAAACATGTAATTTTGCAACACTATTTTTGTATTACATCTGATAGCAATTCGATCTGAGAAATGTATTAGTAGTGGGTGATCTATGCTATCAAACCCTTTTCTTAAATCGATAAATATGCAAGGTGTCCAGGAATAAATTTCCCTTTTTAAACTCGAATAACTTGCCAACAGTGTAACTTAGCGCAATAGGCCTAGGGTCCTTCGATAGTGGATAGATGCGGATTATTTAGTAAAAATGGAGCCTTGGTCTGGTGCGTACCTTGTGTTGATTATTGAGGCATATTTCAAGAACAATGTCTTGTTCACAACTGAAAGATAAAGGTTTTTCAATATCAGGCGTGTGGAGGACGCTCCAAGTAAAAATTTAGTGAAATCGTGGGTGAAGAGGCTTAGAGAAACATCGTCAGCTTTAAATATGAAACGCCCTGGTCCTCCAAGGACTGTAACTACTCCTGAGAACCAACGTGGCATAGCCCAGACTGCAACTAGTGATCGTTATTGTGCAATGCTTCGGGAGTTTTTGGTACATCAGCTACAAGAATTTGATGTCTTCGATCAAGAAACATGGTTTTAACAAGACGGCGCTAGCGCACATACAGCCCGAGCATCTATGGAATTCGTTCGAGAATAATTCCCGGAAAAGACCATTTTTCGCTTTGGAGACCTAAACTGGTCAGCTAAGTCTCCAGATCTAACCCAATTGGACTTTTTGTGGACATACCTTATACCTTATGTTAATCGGCCTAGGACTTTGCTAGAATTAAAACAAAAAATACCAGAGGAAATTAGACCAAGTAAACCTGAATTATGTTTACCACTTTTTAACCACTGGAAGACGGCTTTGCAGGAGTGTTTCAACCGAAATAGAAGGCACCTCCACAATATAATTTTTAAAACATGAAATCCGCCTATATTGTGAGTATTTTTGCTTCAATAAATTAATTTTAAAACTAAAAGGGAAATTTATTCCTGGACACCCATTAGTTAAGTATGGTTTATTGTTATTTATGTTAGTGATAATTTAAAAAAAATTAATAATTCTCTAATCAGTATATTGAGGTTTCCTGATTTCTAAATTAAATTCGAAAAGAATTACGCAAAATTTAAAGATGAATCCCCAACAGATTTAGACCTGGCAATCTAGGTGGTCATTTGTGGTTCTAGTGGAACATTTTTCTTAACTGACTTTAGTTATATTTCCGTCAGCAATATATCTGTATATGCTTAATATAAATAAAATAAAAGGTTGTGCAAATGAGTTTACAAAAATGTAAATTTACAGAAATTATATCTACAGTGTTTTGTTGAATCAAACCTGTTTTTATGAAAACTTTCCTTACGAGAATCACCCAAGAAACTACTGCATAGTCTGATCAGGTATTTTCTTAAAACTGTATGTAAATACGTACTATGGGACAATGATCGAAGAGCTTATATGGCTGAATTAGATTTCTTGTTTTTTGCTAACTAGAAAACCCTTTTATGTTTTTGAAAAAAATCTAAATTATCAATAGTTAGTCTACTTTTCACGGTTTCGACATTATCAAAAAGCTGAAGTTCCCAAGTTACTCACCTAATTGTCCATTGAAAGTCCCATTCCCACTTGCTGGCAGGATGATCAGAACTCCGCTACTTTCGTACCGTGAATTGATCCGTAATACAGGAATATTGATTACAGACTCGAATGGCCTATTCTCATCACTCAACCTAAAAATAATATAATTTTATATGTATAATTTTTGTGTTATACAAAGATAGGTTCTGATCCTGACATCAGAAAAATATTAAAGAATACCCATCGTCTTTCTTGTCCGATGGTGAAAAAGCATCCGACATTATCCCATCTCAAATCCGAGCGTTATCTGATAGTTGATTACAATACGGAGTTGCGACACTTGATCACACATATCCTATGCCTAGTATTTATATAGTAATTCTGAATCCACCGTCTTATCAAGATTTTTTCAAACGCAAACATGCCTCGATCTCACGGTATCAAGAATCAGTACAGAATAGATTATGTTACAATGCCAAATAGAAATGTTTAAGTACAATTATCATTATAGGTGAAGGTAAATTGGCAGTTTGGAAAGCAATATTATCGATATCGTTAATGAAACTAATTAGTGCTTCATAACAAAAGGATATTAGTGAACAACGTATGTTAAAATTGGGATATTAAGTCATATTAAGTTCAATGAGCACTAATTTTCTTACGTATATTTTCTAGTTGTCAATTGACGAGTTTCTCAGTATGCGCATTCTGCTATTGTCCATTGTTTATACAATATAGTTCAAATGGACCACGTATCTAAACAACAAGTCATCAATTTTCACTTTTCTTGGGTACAATCCTAACTAACATTTTGTTTAAATGGGCTACCACCTAAGAAAAAGTTACATATACTGGTCAAATTTTAGTTATGTCCTTGAATGTCTTCAGAAGTTAAATTGTCTTGAGAGTTGAATTCTTTGCTAAAAATTAGGAACTACGTGTCAAGTTAGGGCCTAGAATTTTTTCCTATCGCATACACGCAATACGAAGTGGGATTGTAATATAATTCTTACACACGTCGCCAGCTTCGGAAAACTAATAAATAGAGACTACATACATCAATCTGAAATATTATTAATTATTAAATTGGTTGCACAAAACTGAAAACAAGGACCCAGTAGCCCCTTAAGACAAAGCGCTCTTATAATTTTAGGTTATATTGTTATCAGAGTGTCTCGTTATAATTGTTAACAAAATTCGTTTAGCTTATTTCTAATGCCTCTGAATTTTGGCTAACTATCGTGGCCACATTTGACAAAAACTTTCATTGCACTTAGATTCTTCTGGTGTTATAACCACTACCACAAACGGAAGCCATTTCTTTGACACACTGGACTATAGACAAGTGCATAACCATCTAATATTATTTTTAACAAATAGGTTACCAACGTATGAGTAAGAAAGAGAGCGAAATATAGTCTGATCACATTTCACGAAAATACCCCTGGTTTGCGAAATAATTGTAAAGTCTGCTTTTATTGATGCAAGTTGTTCAAGGGGGTATTTAAATGATGGGCGCATAAAATGGGGACCCCAATTTTTGTGTGAAAACTTTTTACTGGACAACAAAGAATTAGAAAACGTATTTTTTGGGATTTAATCGAAAGTGTTAGTAGTAACGAAAAAACTTTTAGGTTTTTATGAAACCCACAGAATGAGACCAAACGTAAAAAGATCGCACTAATAGTAAAAAAGTTGTGGATGAAAACCGAGGCAGATGCAGGTTTTACCACTTGCTGCATATGCTTGAAATTCTTCAGATTCATAGGCCTCGTACTTCTAAATAACGAAGACAAAATTCGAGTCGATTGATCAAGTAGTTTTTCAGAATTTCTAATTGTTTATCCCCTTCATTTTTTGCATAAAAATAACAATTATCTTTCGGAATAGTTTGTGATTCATGTCGGCAAGGTAAGCTCGTGTATTTTGCTATGAAATGCCATTTGAATGAAACTTGTATATTGCTCAGTAAACTAGTAGTTATGGCCGGAAGACAGGTGTTTTGGGATAAGCAATTATAAATTCTCAAAAACTACTTGACCAATCGACTCCAATTTTGGTGTGGTTATTAAGAAGTATGAAGCCTACGGATTCGAAGAATTTCAAGTAGCTGCTTGAAATTGTCCTCGCATTAGCAACAAGAGCCTTAACTTTTTTACTATTAGTCGGATCTTTTCACGTGGAGTCTCATTCTCTAGGTCTCGTAAATACCTAAAAAACTTATTGGAAGAGTTTTTCGATTCCTGACAATACTTCCGATTGAATCCCAAAAAGCACGTTTTCTCATTCTTTGTTGTCGAGTACAAACTTTTCCCCACAAAAATTGGTGTACCCATGTTATGCGTCCATGTTTTAAATACCCCCTTGAACAACTTTCATCAATAAAACCAAACTTTACAATTATTTCTGGGAAATTTGCTAATATGATTAGACTAATAATATGTTTTCTTTATTGTTAAATTTAGGTCAGACTCATGTGATTTTATAAGGCAAAATTACTACGACTTTACCACAAGATAACCTAAATAGTCGTTTATATCCTTCGACTTATTAGTAATAAATGTCTCATCGACCTAATACTGACTTCTAAATTACTCTAATTTTATTCCCCACTTTGGAAAAAAGGCAAACGCTTGGAAGTAAATACATACGGTGAGGTTCAAATTTGTACGGGAGAGAAGCGTATAATATGTCTGAGTGCGCCGATGGCGTCCATGGCCTCGACACTCGGGCTGCTAAGCTACGAGGTGCTGCTATCTCTTTCTAACACACGTATTGTACGCTCATCGCGCTTCTCTCTCGTTCACATTACGACGTTAGCACTAAATGCTTTTCAGTGTATAGTATACCCTTTTTTAAATTGGTCACGCAATCTTTTGTGCTCGAATTAACGTACTTATAACTTAAAATGTTTGTTGGGAAGTTAAATGCCTCTAAGATTCCACAAACTGTTAACCGAGTGCCTAGCTTTAACGGATGAACAGCTCTTACTAAGAAGTCATTAACTCAAATCTGGGCGGTTAGAATTAACTCTACTTTAAATATCCGGATGTGCTAACCTCATTTTCCTGACGGTGAAATTACTAGCTCCAAAAACGTCGATGTCCTTCAGAGAAACTCTGTATCCATTTGGTCCAGTCGTGAGAGATAAGGTGAGTTCTTCCATTTTGAAAGGTTCTACTGAGGGTAGTTCTATCTCAGGAATTCCCTGCGCCAAGTATGGCCTCAAGTGGTGGATGGCTCCGATGAAGCATTTTATCATTTCTGAGTCTCCCTCTCGACATTGTTTTATGTAAGGAGCTGCAAAGAAAATGAAAAATGGCATCAGGTAGATTGACTCCATACTTCCTACGCCTTCGCTGGAAGTTTAAAAAAAAAAGGATGAGTCGACTCGTTTCAAAAGACAAAATGGAATTATGATTAGGTAGGTTCACTTAGGAACGATGAATCTTTGACCCCTGCATATCAGACTATGGGTGTTTCACAACTTATCCGAACAATTTTAACCACATATCCACTGTTACGTCAGAAGTTGATTTCTCAACAAAAAAATACAATAAAAGTCCTACAGAAATTGTTATAAACCCGAGTTTCAATGATAAATTGAAAAATAAATATCTTATTTTGCGTTCATCGTCGCGATATTAGAACACGCATTAATAATTTATTCTAGCAAATGTTGTACCAGACAACTGATGAACATAAAATACCAGGAATTTTTTGTTTTTTCATACTGATAAGTACGTGTAAATAAGGTTTAATCTGTATCGAGGGTGATTTGAATGAAGAACGGTCGATTTTTGTGAAGTTAAGTAAGAAAGTTATTTGCGAGTTTATGTTTTTAGTTATTTATTAATAAAAATGGCACATGTGTACACTAATGAGGAGTTAGTGGACCTTGTTTTAGCGTACGGAGAAGTAGAGCAAAATTTAAGAGCGGCTTCTCGTTTGTATGCACACCGATTTCCGAATAGGCACATACCACATCATGAAACATTTAGTTCAATTGTTTTACGTGCACGTGTTAGTGGAGATTTGCGCGCCAAACGTGGAGTGGATGGGTGTCGGGTTCGCCCACAACGCGTTTTAAATGCCGAAGACGAAATGTTGGATATTGTGGAAGAAAATCCGGAAATAGGCACAAGGCAGTGAGCCAGCGTGGCGCATATTACATGAGGCCCAACTGTACCCTTATCACGTCCAGAGAGTCCAGGCGTTGCTACCTACAGACTACCCCCTAAGAGTAAAATTTTGTGAGTGCTGGTTGCAAGAAAATGCTCGAAATGTCCGTTTCACAGCTGATATTTTGGCCACCGATGAAACTATTTTTACTCGTAATGGGATAATCAATCTTCATAATACACGCGTTTGGTCCTTTGAGAATCCTCACGCCGTGGTTCAGATACACGTCCAACATCGTTTTTCTTTAAACGTGTCAGAAGGTGTTGTCGATGAACCTCTAATTGGACCGTTCATATTTCCAGATCGGATGGATGGTCACCGGTATTTGGAATTTCTTCTGAATGATTTGCCAGTCCTTCTTGAAGATGTGCCATTGGCGATCCGAACACGGATGTGTTTTTTGCACGATGGGGCACCTCCGCAATTTCGTTTAGAAATTCGTGATTTTTTTAATCAGGTATACCAGATACGCTGGATCGGAAGGGGTGGACCAATTGCATTGCCTCCATGGTCTCTGGATCTAAATCCTATGGACTTCTTTTTATGGAGATACTTGAAAAACGAGGTATACCGTACTCAAGTTCAGAATATTAAAGAATTGCCTGACCGAATCACAGTGGCTGCCGATAATTTGAGCCTTCAGGCACAGGCACAGCAGGAAGGAGGTCTATTTGAATTAGTGCGCCGAAATTGGTTGAGATGCGCCCAAGCTTGCATTGCAGTCATTGGAAACGATTTTGGACAGCTTTTATAAGTAAGTGAACTGTTAAACTGTATTATTTTATTATCTCGATTTATGTATGACTTTTATTACATTTTTTTTGAAATCAACTTCTTTCGTAACAGTGCATATATGTGGTTAAAATTTGTCGGATAAGTTGTGAAACACCCTGTATAAAGCGCATCTATCATATGTCTGTTTCCGTGGCAGATGTAGGGAAAGTATGTGTGACTTATTAGGCCTAACATGTGCATAGTATCGCCAATATCAGCAGCTTCTTAATAATAGAAGGTATTTCACTGACACCAAATATGCAACAATTTACAAACATTTACCGCACACAGCTTCCTACCTACAATTTTCATATCCTCCAATTAATGTCTGAAAATGAGCATGAATCTCTGAACCGTTGTAAAATACCATATGTACCAGCGATTTTATTTTTTGTACGTAGTTCCGCCTCCTCTGAATCAATTTTCAAAACCTACGACTACCTCAACGATGGAAGGCTCAAACTCGCGATGATGTTCGAACTTCGGTTCACAAATTTTTTGTCGCATCACACAAGTCCGTATTTCTCATTTATGTCGGTTTGTCAGTCGGTGTCTGTTGTATATCAATGCGACATAAGTAATGAGTCGATCTACTTGACGAAATATTCTGAGAACCATCATAGGCGGACTAACAAATTAGATGTTACCCGAAATGGGTGGTACATTTAAGGATCGGAAAACAAAAACCTTGGCATAAAAACAGTTAAATTATCATTTACACAAGCAAAGTTCTCGAGTAACGGTGTGTCCGTGACGACACTACCGCAGAACATTTGGAGTTTGTTACCTATTGTACAGTTGGCAGTGGTCTCCATGACCATGCAGCATTGCACCGTGTACACAACGCCAACGATTACCAAGTTGTTACCTGGATCAGAAGCTGCTTAATGATAGAAAGTTTTCGACTAATACCTAAGACGTTACGTTTACATCCCCTACCCCAGTGGCGGATTTGCCAATAGGCCCTGTAGGCCTGGGCCTAGGGCGGCCAGATATTAGGGGTGACCAGTCGTGACAAAAAATTCACTGATGATATCAAGAAGTAACTGAATACCTAGATATTTTAAAGACTCGCGCTCATTATGGCGAGCCGCACTGCAGTATAATCTTACTAAATCACTTTCTACATTTTATTTATAAAATATAGATATGTATATCAACGGTATAATGTACTGTATAATAAAATATAAGGTATTTTCGTACATTTAAGTGATTTAGGAAGAATATTGTTATACGCGCCAGCTTAAAAACACTAGTAGTGGTAATCGCAACGCGACGTGTACTCGAATACGAGCCCCTACCCACTTCAGTTGGCCCAACTATTGAAATCTTAGATTTTTTTTTTATCAAACACAAATAATAAAAATGTAGTAGGGTGTTATAGGTTTTAAATATTAACAATGAATGTTTTGATAATATATAGTAGAAAACACCAACTTTATCCAATTTCCCTAATCAAGTTTGAAATAACACATGTTGCAATTACAGCATATCAACCTATTTTCATTTCAATGAAAAATAAGTCTATAACGCATAGGTGGCTGTGAAAAATAAAAGCCATGACAATTGTTTTTATTAATAACAGCTGTCAAGAATACGTTTAAAATAGTAGTCAAAATGGGTAGAGGAAAGGTTATTAGTGAGAAAATTCGGTTACTGATAATTAATTTTTTTTAATTCTGGGATTTAGCACTTGCAAGGTAAGTTTTCTTATAAAAAAAAGTGAAGTAAAAACCCTAAAGTTGCACAACTTGTTTATAGACCAAAGGAAAACCACTATTAACTCCACTGCAAAAGAAAAATCGGCTTAGATGGGCTAAAGAACATAGGCAATGGTTATTCGCAAAAAAAATGAAGCATTCCATGTTGAGTGTCTGAAAAGAAAAGTGAAATTTCCAGCATCCATTATGGTCTGGGGCAGGATGTCATCAAAAGGAGTAGGAAAAATTCATTTTATTGATGGAAATGTGGATACAAACAAATATTTGGCAATTTTAGAAGAATCGCTTTTACCAATGATGGAAGACTGTTTGACATCCGGCCAAGATTTTGTGTTTCAGCAAGATGGTGCAGCGTGCTATACCTCAAAAAAGGCTATAAAATGGATGGAAGAAAATAATGTACCATTTCTGAAATGGGTTTTTAGCAGTCCAGATCTGTCACACATTGAAACTGTGTGGCACGAGATGAAAAGGGTTCTACGACAACATCCTGCTCGTACAATCACCGAACTGAGACAAAAGCTTCAAGAAATATGGGCTTGTTTTACATAAAATTTTTGCCAAAACTTGGTTAACACTATGCCCCAAAGAATTTCAGCCGTAATAAAAAATAAAGGTGATATTACCCAATGGTAATCTTTCAATTGTTCCTTTGTTAACTTCGCGCATTTATTCGCACATTGTTTATTTGTTCAGATGTTCTATTAGTTATAGGTCTAATTGATTTCAAATATGTATTTTTTACAACTAGAGTGTATCTAAAATGTTTTTGAGAAAATAAATTGTTTTAGAAGTAAATAGTTTCGTCATGTTTAGTTTATAAAGACATATTTTGGTACAAATCTTGAAGTGGGCTAACTGAAGTGGGAGGGGCTCTTATACGGATTTATTAACAAGCAAGCAATACAAGGCCTACAAGCTAAAATAAAGGAATTATCTCCTCTTGACAGGTATGTTCCCTGTTCAGCACACTCACTCAATTTAGTAGGTGAATGTGCAGCTGAAAGCAGCCAAGAGGCTTGTTTGTTATTTTCTCTACTCCAAGAGTTGTATAATTTCTTTGCAGCGTCAACTCAGCGTTGGGAGCTCCTCCAAGCCCATTTCACCGTCAAAAGTCTATCAACGACTCGTTGGTCAGCTCGTGCAGACGCATGCAAAGCTTAGGCGAATCGTGGAATGAAATCCATAACGTATGTTTAGAGTTAGTTATATACGAAGCAAGAGGTAATTAGTCTGGAACTGGAATGTTCTGAAACGGCCATCATGACTGCGTTTTGAGAAAACTAAGCGCGTCTGAAGTCGAAGAAAAGGCCAAAGCATTGCAAATGGTTTATTCTACTGACTGATTGAAGTGTAAAAAATGAGGATCGAAAAAGTTTGTTGAAATGGTTACGAACCGAAGGTCTTCAAACCATTTACCCAACCGTGAATATTGCTCTTCGTATGTGTGTTTGAATATCCGCCAGTAACTGTACCGGAGTTTTCTTGTTTGCAACGAGTTACGAATTATTTAGGCATGGAGCAAAGGCTGAACAATCAGATTTTTTTAAGAAAATTGGATTGTGAAGGCCTAATGATTTTTTCTGCGTTTAAGTCTAGACGAATTTTGTAAAATTGTGAAACAGTTATTTTTTATTGTATGAGAATAAACCTATAGTTAACCTAGTTAAATAAATAAACCCTAAAGCAGTTTTAACTGTTTTATTTAAATGTGTAATTATCCTTGGAACCTTGGAAGGTATTACAAACCAGCAACTATTATATTAATTTCGATCAAAGTTGGCAATAAAGTAAGTTATGTAGTCTATATAATGAGTACAACTGAGGAAGCGGCGGCTACATGGTCTTGGGCCTAGGGCGGCCAAGACTGCAAATCCGCCACTGCCCTATCCTCTACAACCTCCAAGTTTTAAGCCGTACAAAATAATTGATCAGTAGCCTCTGAAACGTCAAAAATCTTGAGTGAAAATTCCATCAAAATCCGAGTGGTACTTCTCAAGTTATAGGCGGTTATAAAATTAGCGAATAGACCGACAGATCGAAGGAAATGAGTGACATGTTTTTTCGTGATGTACATGTATAACAACCAAAAAACATAATATATCAATTTCGAAAATTTTGCGATTTAAATTCTTCCTGTCAGTTTTGACATAGGAAGTAAAAATGGCATTAAGTAGGTTGACTGTACTTCCGACGCAATTCTGAAATCATGTATGTGTATAGTGTCAGTCAAATTTTGTACGCTTTGGTATCTTTATGGTTTGCTGGCTATGAAATTCCTTAGACCCAGGCATAGGGCCGTAGAGTAGAATGAATATCGGTTGATTTGGTACAAACTGAAATTATGGGCTTTCAATACGCATGACATTTCAATCAACTTTCTTACATTCTGGTAGTTTAACTATTGGTCGGCTATAGAAACCCTTACAGATGGTCATGTAATATAATATAGTGGATACCAAATAAAACCCGATGCACGTCATCGATCTGGAGCTGTGCGCTGTTGCCAGAATTTGCACATTTTCTTTTAAGCAAATAAATTTAATAAAATAAATTGTTTATATATACCTACCATTTACTATAATACCATTATATTAAAAATAAATAAACTTGTTGTAAAATTAAATTCCTTTCTGAATAAAAACACCTGATGTGGTAGATATTCAAAAACACAAAATATTTAAAGAACATAAATTGTTTTCTCGTATTTTAATTAATTTGATTATTTATTTATGATATGGGAACTACAACACTTTTTCAATTCACATCAAAGAGAAGAAAGAACTCGGGTGATGCGATGTTACACAATACCGGCAACTAGCGGCAAGGAGTACTCTTTATCGAGCCTGATATTAACCGCATGGTATGGTTCAGTTGTATATCAATTCCGGAGTTTGATTACATTATACAGAATATATTTTGATGTTTTAACTATTCTGAATCACTGGAATCAAAGTCATCGTTAACATGGATAATAAGGGGAAGAATTTCCTGTCTATCCATTACTTGTTCCCTTCTATACCATTTCATAATTATCTCCTCTGTATGTCTAATGGAGTTCTTCCACATATCAGGGTAATAGTTTGGAGTGCCTCTTGCCACATTTTTAGGCAGTCATTTTCAGTGTGGCCCTCTCTTCCAATATGCCGATTATAGTAATTTTTTGCAGTCCCCCAAATTAGCTCAATTGGGTTAAAAATACAGTGGTATGGAGATAACCGTAAAACTTTATGTCCATATTGTTCTGCCAAGTTATCGACCACATACATTTTGGTTGGTGTATCCCAAAAAAAAAAAAAAATAGGAACAAAATGCATAAATATTGGGTATTCTGCTCACTGTGCAACAATCGTTAGAAGTTCAGATTTGAATGCTTCATGTGGATACTGTATTTTTTGTTCAGTTAACCAATTCTGAATTTCAGCCTTTCTCCATGAGCTATTGGGAGTTTTTACTAATAACATGCTATGGTATGATGCATTATCCATAACAATCACAGAGGGTTGGGTCAAGCTTATTAGTAATTGATTTTCAAACCAATATAAAAAGTTTTGCTGGTTCATTTCACCATGGTAATCATTAAGCTGGGTTTTCGATGAAAATATGAGCGACGCACCTTCAACAAATCCATTTTCAATGCCAGCGTGAACTATGATATACCTACAAATGCATTTCATTTTTATATAGAGCTTATTTTTCTATACATTTGAAAGCCCACCTTTTTCCATCAGCTTTGGTACTTCTAACACTTCGCTTGGATACTTTACACCACTTCACAGTAACTGTTGTTCTGAAAAGAACAATTTTTAATTGGCAAGGCAACGATTCAAAGCTCAAATAGCGCAAAACTCACAAACTAAACAATAAAGAACTAATAGTACGACAAAAGGACAATGGCAACTGATGTCAACAAATGAGCAGTAGCAGCAAGTAGAAATGTCACATTGAATGTAGTCAACTGTTGGTAACCATGATTTTTATGAATGACATCACCTATGACGTGCATCGGATTTTATTTGGTATCCACTATAACTATGAGCTTTATGAGGTACTAAAATAATTGAGATTATTCATTCCACAAAATATCTGCATATTCACATAGGCCTGTTGTACGTCAATTCGTTATTTCATGCCAGAATAGCTACAGCTCTAACGTTGTAAGCCTATCTGATTATTCATATTCAATAAATTATATTGCCCTGGTAGTCGCAATTGTTATATCGCCGAGGCATCGTTGACCTCTTCTCAGCTGGGGGCAAATATATACATATAGGATGATTATGTGTGAAATATTCCTAATAGGCGCGTAGAATATCCGGCATTGGAAATTCATAAATGTACTGCCGCCAAAAAACTGTAATCCATCCCCTATCCCTAAAATATTTTTAAAAAATGATCAGGATCATCTGAAACGTCAACACAGTTTGAGCGATTTTATTTCTCTTCATTTCTGGCCTTTTCCTCTGCCGTCACTGAACCGACTTTCAAAAACTGCAAAGCTTATTTGTCTTTGGCATAGTAGTAACCTTGTTTAAAAGTTTCAAATCCGGAAAGTAATTTTCAAGTTATAGACGGTCCAAGAGCTAGCGGACAGACAGACAGACCGACGGAAATGACTGCCATGGTTTTTCGTGATGTACATGTCATATAACATCCAAAAACCTTAGTATCTCATTTTCATTTCATTTTTGAAAAGAATAAAGAACTGAGTATTTTCTACCTTCCCACTTTGGCGTCTTCCAAGGCCGCACATGCCTTTCACTGTTTGGAGGAATATTCTTAATACGACTGCTTCTTGGTGTGTGTGGAGATGACTTAAAACAAATATAATTTTTTGTATTTGTTCCTCTACTTCCGTTGATCCATAATGTGTTTATAATTTAACTCAATCAAGATGTTTCGAAAGCAGCATTTCAACACTGCGGTCATAATTACATCAATTGTTAGACCTAAGGCAAATTACATCTTTTTCATAATAGCATGTTTTCGCCTTGACTATTATAGTGAGGTTAATGACACCGCACAAGTATAAAAAGTACCCTACGTATAGATTTTTCAAGAAAAGTCGTGCTTTCACTAGATGCTCGTGCGATAATCGAATGATGGAAAGTTTACAAGTGTAATTGCATAGTTCAGGTAGTTTATGTGTTTGCAAAACGAAAATCATTGTTTCATATATATAATATTCGTATCCGCATTCACATTCGCGAATATTTGCATGATTCTTCTCAGAACCCTTCGAATATTTCGCAAATGTGAATATCACAAAACCAGAATATGAAAATAATATTATGTACTTAAACAGAGCAAGAAATATTACTTCATTTTTAGGTTTGCTAAATTAGCATATTGTAAGAGACAAACAAAAACGTCATTTTTCACATATTTTCCACTTCTTTTGGAGTTACAAGCGATTGGGTATTTTCCGTTTTGTTAGGGAGGTCCAAATCACAAACAGCAATGATATTGTGGATATCTGGCTCACTTCAGAGTCCAAAAAAGACGATTGAGCTAACCTTGCTCAGAATATAACCTAAAAAATTTTTCAGGTTATCATGGGTATCCATCACGCTTTGACGTCTGCCGAGGTGAACAGCTGATCGGCAAATGACATTTTTGTGTTAGTCTGCGACGTTGGCAATAATGAATTGAGTGTAAATCTAGTAAAACTTGTTTGTAGCGTTTTGTTTTTTGTATGCAAATGAACTTTTCAAAATAAAAGATCTGTTAGCAAGGACAAACTGAATCTGTAGCGTACAGATAACCAAAACAAAATCGGCTCTGACTACCTGACATCGGATCGGTTAGAATTATATATCCTGTGCCGATATGGGGAATTTTGAGATATTACTAGATATTCTGCTGTCATTCTACCGGGATGGATACTCGTGAAATAGGGTATACACCTAAGACTAAACATTTTTGCAGTTTGCTGATATGGATTTCCGCAAAATTATAAGTGTAGGCAAAGTTAAAAGTCTCACAATCTGAATTCGGAAAATTTTGCACGTACACAAAATAAAACGCTAAGCGCTGCACAGAGGACAAATTAATGGGCACATTTTTTATAGGCTCTCCCAAAAGGGGAACATAATATAGCATTTTTGGATTAGTAGAGTAATAAGCGGGTCAATTTACAAAAAATATCAGCTTTGGCAGCCCGTCAGTTAACCAGTTTGAAAGATATTCAGAGGATCCCCCCAATTAAAAAAAGTTCAAAACCTTCAACTGTTATTCCTCCAATCTACGCACCTTCATCCTCTGCACTTTATTTTCCTTCGTTTCTGTCTTTTCCCCTTCTTTTTCCTTATCTTGTATATGGTGAGATTCAAATTTGGCTGACGTCGTAATGTGTACGTGTAAGAGAGAGAAGGACAAACATGTATGTTAGAATATTTTGAATTTGAATTTGAATTTGAATTTGAATTTGAATTTGAAAGAATGCGCCGATGGATTCCGTGACGTCGTACTTGGGTTGCTAGGCAACGAGGTGCTTCTATTTCCTTCTAACACATGTATTGCACGCTTATCGTGCTTCTCTTTCGTACACATTACGACGTCAGTGGTATTTGGTTTTCACTGAAAGTGGGATTATAGCCGGTCTTACGGACTTCTTTGACAAATAGAAGAAAAAATAAAAATATATGAAACAAACCAAATGTGGTCCTTGTGAGTCTTTCTGTGAAGCTGTCACAAATTGATAATCGTTGTAACTAATTTTTGTTATTGTAATAACTGAATTATTATACTTGATCACACAGTGGTCATCAATATTCTTGCAGCGATTATTGTATTACGCTAATTACACAATGCTTGTAATTATTAATTGCAGATATTATTCATTTGCCAATATATAAAACTATTGCGTAGTTATCTACTAGCAAAAGACAAAAGAAAACATACACAGAACCACAAGTTTATAGCAGTATGTCTTGTTTTTGTAACGGGTAAACAATGGACGGTGAAATCTATAATTGCTGTTGAATATGCATAGTCACCAGCTAATGCACTTATAGGGATAGGGTACCATTAAGACAGTGTGGAAGTTTTCGCCCTTAAACATGATAAAAGTATGTGCCTTTAACTCTAGGTTAATATGTGTCAGTCAATATATGTGTATCTGATTCTTAAAATTAGCTTTTTCGTCAAAAAATACAAAATCATCCAGTTGATTTTGTTTACGTTTATTACCGCTACAGACGTATTGCCAAAAATCTATAGGTTACATGGAATAAAAAAACGCGACAGTAAAACCCAAACCCTCGAAAGAAAGACAGCTTTATCAACATTTTGTGTGCGGTCTGTATTTGGTCTCAGTTGACAGTAATACTTTAATTCGAGGTGAAAAACTGGATTTGACTGATGGTATTGGTATTCTAACAATAACGGCAATTAACTCCAAATCACTTCAAAGGTGACCTAATACTTTTTTATTAGATATACGCTTAAAATTTCCTCTGCACAGGAAGCTGAAAGGTATATAGCGTGACTGTTCCTTATATGTTTCACATCTGTCCATACACCGATCAATGTAAATGACAACTATCGCAGATCATTGATCCATATCAAATTAATTTCTCGTATAGTGACTAATAATTCATTATTCGCGAGGTTGAGGTGGGCGAAAAGCATTTTACAGGTTATTAAAGAAGATTCAGTTCCGAAAAATAGGTATTGAAGTATCATGGAGAGATAGACTTTGATATTCTGAAGACTAAAGGTTCTTGTAGATACCTACAGAACATAATGTTCACCGTTCTTGGTGAGTCACAGTGAAACGACAAGATTGACTGTCATACATCCATCTCCATGAAACATACGTACGCAATCGGTCTCCTCTATTGCCCAAGCCGTGTCTGTGTACAAGAGTGAGTAGCAGCTGTGTTAAGGATCCCCTTGCATGGTACGCATTTTCTCTTACGGAAATTAAGCTCTGTACACGCTACAGTCTACTTATATTTGTCAAAGTGATAACTTACTTGACATCGGCGTGCAATTTTTGAGTTGTCCTGTTATCAATCTTCAATATAAAATTTATTAGAGTAATTCCGGGAAGAGAATGAAAACATCGGTCGCTTGTTACCCACTTCATGCGTAGTGGAGAGTGTAGCAGATGCTCTGAAGAATTAGTCTGCGCCCATGGTACGGAGACTCAATCTGTTTTCTTATTTCATATGACGTTGATGACGTAACCGACAAGAACGGTGACTATAACTATAGTATATTTGCCCTATTTTTCATTTAATTAAACAAAAGGTTTCTCGTCTGTACTACCTCCGATCTCCCCATGTAGAACGCAGAAATGGGAACATGTTTTTTCGAATATAAAGAATAAAACGTCAAGTAGGTCGACTCTGCACTTCCTACGCAACGTCGTCATCAGTTCATAAAGGATTAAGTTCAGCACAAGTTAAGCCCTCTGATAAACAAGTTAATTACGAACATGTACAACAGAAGATTCTTAGTATAGATTGTTTCCCTGCCCTCCCCCAGTTACCGTACATCTGGCACTGTTGTCCTTACCCATATCGTCTGATGAAGCAGCGCCACCGAAGCTTAGGGATGCAAACTTTTTATAAATATCGATATATCGATATCGATATATATCGAATTAAGTCGATATCGATCTATCGATATATCGGTCTATTAAGCCGATATATCGATATTTCATATTTTTTTTTGAAGCTTACAGAAATCAGAAATTCAATGCAGTTTCAGTTATATCAAATAGTTATCGATTATGTATGTATATAAATTTTTATACTTATGTATGTGAAGTGAAACAAAATTTGGATAGGTATATAATATGTGTTTTTCTTTCCATACATTTATTTGCGAAAATTAATTCCAGTATTTTGTACTAGCTATTGAACTTAAAAATAGTAACTTTGACAGTCTGCTTCCTTGTAGCCGGTTTCTGCTCTAAGTTATAGTGGCTTTTAAAAAAATACGTTCGGAAGGAACGCTTGTTGCCACAATTGGTTTCATATCCAATTTCACATTCTTCTGGATGATTGTGTTTAATATGTGATGCTAGATTGCTTGTATTTCCAGACGTTTTAACTCGTTTTTGTTACAAATAGTGCAAACGGCAGTACCATCTTCTTTTTTGAAATATGAACATAATCTACTTCTCTTCATGTTTTGAAATTAAAATTGAGTATTAATTCATTAGTAACCAACAGGTACAACACGTGTACATGTCACATGTCATATCACAAAACATATACACTTGTCACTTGTCATATCGTAATATCTCATTTTCTAGAGAGTCAGTGTTGTCACGTTGCCAGTCAAGCGTTTTACCCGTTTTTGTGGGTATTTTAATTTGGGTGGGTTTTTCGATATTTTGATACGATATATTGAATTTTTCGATATCGACGATACGCCGATATCGATAAGTATCGATATTTTTAGTTGTCGATATATCGATATTTATCGGTTTTCCGAAATATCGTTGCATCCCTACCGAAGCTCCGCCGCAGTACAAGCAAGACAATCAAGCATGCGCTGAGCTCACATAGCAACAGATGCATATATTCATTCAAATGGTAGAAAATAATAAAACGTAGACTTTAAAAAATAAAAGCTTAAAAGTACGATAATAGAATATACAGCATATAGTAGTAGTGATGGCAAATCTTATTTTTTTTTTAAACATTCTAAAGCTTAGCATATTACCTAAAATGAGTTACAAGTAGATGATACTGGAAAAATAATTGACGGATTTTCGATTTTAACAAAAATGATACAGATTCAAAATGAAACTAGAGCTAATAAAATTTTGTTTAGAAATGTAAACTCAAAAGCATCCAAATTTTTATTTAATCTTGCTTGTGGATTCATATATTGGAACCTATATAGAGTATTAAAAATCCGAATCAAACAAATACATAAACCCTCAATCGAAAATGGAGAGTCAAGAACGGTTTCCTATGTCATCTGCTATGATTTACATGACACAATGATCAGTATATTCTGTATAAATTCACAAAAAATTACAATTTTCAAATTGTCAAAGCACGCTGAAGAAAATGGTAGCGTATAAATAAACATCAAAAACTTCCCTCTCCCTCCCACACCCCCTTACCACCCTTTAATTTTTCGCTCGTTAAATAATTTTTCAAATATGCTGAAGATCATCTGAAATATCAAAAAACAAAGTTTGAGCCACTTTCATCCTTTTCTTTTGCGTTTTCCCCTCCGCCGCTGGACTGATTTTCAACTCATAAATCGCACTGACACCCTTCGCTAAATCAAACCACTGATACTTTTTATTGAACAAGATAGAGCCTAAATATCAGAATACTGTTCTAAAAAAAAATTAAGGAGCTTTTTTATAGTAGATGAGTATATGTGATTAGATGAAAAAGATCCACTTACGGACGTTATCAGCAGTGATCTTATCAGCTGTGGCATATCCGAAGGATACCGTCGCGATCACAATCCATACTTTGAACATAATTAATGAGAAGGTACTTCCACACTGAATGCAAAATCCGACCGGACGGTATCGCGGTATCCGGTGAGCTGCTGCTGAGAACACTTTCTCTTTCAACATGCAACTTAGAATGGCACCGCGATGTACTACCACGCTCGCACGAGTATCGTAGTAGTACCCTTCTGATTGATTTATAATTCAGTCGGGAGGTTACGTTTTTTGAGTATCACAATATTTTCGTATATCGTATAATATATCGTATAGTATTCGAGAAATGCAGAGAAACAAGTTCCTTTGGACCTAAAAGTATAAATCAGCTCGAGTAGATATCTGCTGCAGGTCTCTGGTGTGAGGGCAGTTTTTTTTACTTCTCACGCCTACTGAAATCGCAAAAAACGAAACTGAGATACTATGTTTTTTGGATCTACATCGCGAAAAACCATGTTAGTTATTTCTGTCGGTCTGTTTGCTTGCCTATCTAACGGTGTATGCCTGTCCGCTAATCCTTGGTCCGTCTATAGCTAGGAAAGTACCGCTGCGAATTTTTCACGCAAGGTTATTATCAAGGATGAAAAAACTTAGCAGTTTTTGAAAATCAGTCCACTGGCAGTGATGCTACGGAGCAAATATGAATAAAACAAAGTTCGCTAAAATATCGTTTTTTGACGCTTTAAAGGCTCCTGGCCATTTTCGGAACAACTACCTTAATTTCTTAACGTCTATATACAGGGTGGCGCATCGAAAACGAAACAGACGCATGCACTGACAACTCAGTTTTTTTGGAAAAACGCTCAGAAGAAATCAAGTTAACACGTGCAGCCCCCTGAGCGGGGGTGACTCCAACTCTAAAATGTTAAATGGAAAGGGGGGGCGAGTGATACCTTATTTTTAAGGTATTTCAATTCCCTTTATAATGATATAAAATTGATGTACTTCAGTTCAGTAGTTTTGAAGACTTATTGATATAAAGCTTAAATAAAACTGATACATCATCATTAGTGGAGATCAATACATTTGGCAGCAAAGTAATTTAAAAATGAAGAATGAACTGACCCGTTAGGCAAGTAAATGTTGAAAATGGCCACCATGACTCTCCATGCAATAATGAAGATTTTGCTCAAAACGTTGCCGCACATTTTGCAATATTTGAGCAGTAATATCAAGGCACTCATTCACAATTCTTTGTCGCAGGTCTTCTAATGATGTTGGCTGAGTAGCATAGATTTTGCTTTTTAAATGACCCCACATAAAGAAATCCAAAGGTGATAAATCTGGCGATCTTGGGGGTCATTCAATGGCACCTCTTCTACCAATCCATCGATCTAGAAACGTCTGATCTAAATATTGTCGAACACGTAATGCGTAATGTGGTGGGTCACCATCCTGGTGGAACATCAACCTATTCGCAATGTACCGCCAATCATTCTAATTTTCAATTATGGCTGTTAATGTCATTTAAAATACATTCCACCGGTCAAATTTCCAGGTAAGAAAAAAGGACCAACTAAATGATCGACAAAAATACCAGCCCAAACATTTAATTTTTGTGGCTGCTGTGTATGAACCTCATGATAAGTTCTGGGATTAGAATCGGACCAATATCGGCAGTCATGACGATTTACTACGCCATTTAAGAAAAAGGAACATTCGTCGGAAAAGCAAGTGTTGAATAGAAAATGTTCATCGTTTATAATTCGTTCACTCATATCTTCACAAAATTGTAATCGCCGATCAAAATCGTCTTCATTAAGTTCTTGTACTAGGTGAATTTTATACGGATAAAAACTATGTGCCTTTAGAATCCGTTGGACAGTACGTACACAGTCTCCAATTTGCGGGTACTGAACGTAGGATCTACATAAACTTGCCATAAAGCCCCCACTTCTATTGCTTCGTACCTTATGGGATTTTCAATGTTGCGTTTTTTATTGGCGACTGACCCAGTTTCCCGAAATTTAGCTTCAAGTTCTAGAACATATTTTCGATGCACGTTACTGTTCTCATGTCGCTCGTTAAATATTTCTGCTGTTCTATTAGCGCACTGATTATTTCCGAAAAATATTTCGATAATTTCAACTCTTTCTGCTGTGGAATATACCATGGTTAATTTATGTAATAAAGCGTTACAAGTTATGTTAGCAACAAAGTTTGGTCAAATCAATCGCAAACTATGTACTAAATTCCTATTTAAAATATGTACGAGATATTTCCTTATCTTTCTTCAAGAAATAACTTTTTTCCCATAAAAAAACGCTCCAATAGCTATTTTCAACAACAAAATGGTAAACAAACCATGGGCGTAGTGAAGAAAAGCATTTAGTTATTAAATAAATTATTTAAGTCAAATTTCTTCTGAAAGTAGTACAAACTAATCTGATGTACCTATTAAAGTCTACTTTAAGCTTTAAATCAATAAATCTCCAAAACTACTGAACTGAAGTACATTAATTTTATATCATCATAAAGGGAATTGAAAGACCTTTAAAATAAGGTATCACTCGACCCCTCTTTCTATTTAAGATTTTAGGGTTAGTGTCACCCCCGCCCAGGGGGCTGCAGGTGATTTTTTGCCAAACTTGTGTGCCCCTCGAAAACAGAATCGACGGGTCTGAGCGTTTTTTCCAAAAAAAAAACTGAGCTGCCAGTAATTGCGTCTGTTTCGTTTTCGATGCACCACCCTGTTTTTATGCTTCCAGCCCCGGTAATTCTACGCTTTTATTAGAGGACGTGTTATAATCGCTAAAACAAAATTGTAGATTGGATATATCTGGGATGTTACTCCACAATCATGTGCAGCACCAAAAATTCAGTCGGTATGTCTGTCGGCCAATCCTTGGCCCCTCTAACACGGAAAACACCGCTCGCATTGATAAAACATTGACAAACGGTTAATTCGTGCCATGGACGAAAGAAGTTTCAGAGACTCCTGCTCCTTCTCGGTATTTTGAGGGGTTGAAAATTGAGGGTGGGACATTATAAATGGTGAGTGATCGTGGATGTTGGATCTTTTGTATCAATAAAAAACGTTCTATTTATATATAAAAGGTTCTGATCACAGTAATATTACGGATCAGTTAGACCTAGCCTCGATTATTGCTCACACGTTTGGGGTGCTGCAGCCCCGACTACATTATTTATGCTCGATGCTGTCCAGAGGAGGGCTGTCCGACTGATCGATGACTCTTCTCTAACAGACAGTCTCGGCACCCTTTCGCACCGGTGATCCGTCAGCGATCTAGCTCTCTTCTACCGCTAAAACAACGGGCTTTGCTCCTCAGAGCTCTCTTTCATGATGCCTCCGCGCGATATGCCTGCCAGACAGACCCGCCTTATTTCGGCGTGTCAAACATCGTACATGCAAAACTGGCCAGTACGACCGCTCCGTTGTCCCGTGGGTGTCGAGACTGTGGAACAATCTACGAAAGGAAGCTTTTCCCAGTTCTATTTGTACTAACCTTAGGCAGTTCAAAAACCTGAATAACAAAATTTCTTTAGGACCCTCATAAAAGCCGCGGTGTCCTGGCATTTAGGCTTCTGCCGGTGCGGCTAGATTCAGTATATAAAAAAACAATAGTCACAACATATTTTCCACATATTTGGCATTAAAATAGAAACATGCGTAATCAAGTTCGAAGAGGTGATCCTTATGAGATCGGTAGTAGCCCGTTTGGTGGACTGTCTCCAATAACTAGATCTATTCCATCCTGATATTGCTTAAAAGCATGAAACAACATTGTATACAGCTGGTCATAATGACTGAGACGGAAATCAAACAGATTCTATTAATACCTTAATGTTTATCCATTCTTTACATTAAAAGAAGAATATCAAACAACGTACCTACTCAATATTTCATTGTTTTGGGATAAAACCTAGGTTTTTTTGACATCGCTGTATATGAATGGAATTACTACATGCAAGACGTGAGAAGTGTAAAGTCAATCTGCTTAACCCCATGTTAGTAGGGCAAAATAATTTAATATTTTTATCCCAATCAACTAGAATATTAGATTGTGTTAGTATCAGCATGATGGAGGACTTGATATTGAAAGTTGTTCGGCGATATATAAACACAACTAAATGCAAGTCACTTATGAATTAACCTTCACTTTTTGTGATCACTGCAGATAACATGAGTATGAGGTAAGCTTCACGTAGTTTATTGCTGATTTTTCCTTCTTCTAACTGAATAAGTACTGTCGCGGCAGCTCGTAAATATGCAATAGACAACAGAAAATATGTTTAAAAAGTTCCCTATCACGCTATTTTGACTTTTGAATATGTACAGCGTGATTCAAAAAACAATATGTTTTAAGTATAAAGTGCATCCAAAAATAACGTAAAAAGCTCGTATAACCATATGTTCCAAAATATCTAATCTAATATATGAAAATGGCGTCTAGTAGATTGACTCTACACTTCGAATGCCTTCGAAACAACTTCTAGTACAGATTTCTATTTAATGCAATGGCATCAGAAACATTAGAGCACTATTTGGGCATTTCATGAAGAAAGTGCCCTCAGATTGCAGCATTGAGCGTGTCTGTACGCGGTGGACTCATTTATTTAGCGTTCTGGAGTAAAGTTATTTGTCAACAGTGTTTGATACAGAATCAAATGCTATATAATAGCATATCACAAAATCAAGTAACCTTATTAAATTACACTTCAAGCATAATGCTCGTATATATTGTATCGAAAACACCGTTTTTACTACTTGAACTGAACTTTGTTACTCTAAGACTAATTTATAACAACTTTTGCAGCTGAATTATGACAAATTCATAGCCATGTTGTCTGGACTATCTCCAGCGCTGTCGACTACTCGACTGTGTCTGACCGTTTTCGCCTTCTGGTCGGTTATTTAAGTTCAATCGATGCATTCCAGAGCAATCCTGCGCTTTATCGAAGTTCTCTAGATTGACGCTGATGGGGTAGATTCCTCTCGATGGATTTCGAACGCTCCCGATCTATCGCGAATATTCACGTATTCTGGCTGCAAGATATACCGCTCTCGATATCCGGCGGTGCCACTCTGGTCGCCCAAGCGTCGACGTTAGGAAGGTGTCACATTCCTCTAGTTTCTAGGGCGTTACAATATACAGGGTTTCCCGATATACCGTGGACATGGTAATCTTAGACTAAATTAGCCGAT